TGTACAAACAATACAGCTGAGTATGAGGCATGTATTTTGGGTCTTAGAGCTGCCATTGAATGTAAAGTAAAAATGCTTAAGGTTTATGGGGATTCAACTCTTGTAATTGACCAAATCAGAGGAGAATGGGAGACAAAAGATTTCAAGCTTATAAAATATCAGAAACTGGTTCTGGAACTCATCAAAGAATTTGAAGAAGTGACTTTTGATTACATCCCCAGAGAAGAAAATCAAATAGTAGATGCCTTGGCAACTTTGGAAGCCGCATTTAAGGTAAATGAACATGCAAGCATGATGCCTATTTAAATGTAGGCTTATGAATATTCGACTCATTGTTTCAACATTGAAGAAGAAGAAGAAGAAGAGAAACCTTGGTACTATGATATCTTGCAATATATCAAGTATCAAAATGATCCTAAACAAGAAAATGAAAATGATAAGAGAACTATCCGAAGAATGGCATCAGGATATGTACTAGATGGGGAAGTCTTGTACAAAAAGAGCCTGGATCAAGTCCTATTGAGATGTGTGGATATTAAGGAAGATAAAACAATTCTTGAAGAAGTGCATGAAAGAGTATGTGGTACTCATGCTAATGGGTATGCAATGGCTAGAAAAATTATGAGATTTGGATATTATTGGTCAACTATGGAAACAGACTGCATTAATTATGCCCGAAAGTGTCACAAGTGTCAAATATATGGAGAAAAGAAGCATACTCCTCCTTATCCATTGCATGTAATGGCAGCTCCTTGACCATTCTCTGTGTGGGGCATAGATGTTATTGGACAAATTTTTCCAAAAGCTTCAAATGGTCATCGCTTCATTTTGATAGTAATAGATTATTTTTCCAAATGGGTAGAAGCAACTTCTTATGCGAACATTACTCAGCCCACAATCTGTAAATTATTGAAAAAAGAAATCATTTTTCGATATGTTTTTCCAAATAGAATTATTACCGACAATGCTTTGAATCTGAACAACAAAATGATGAAATCATTCTGTGATCAATTCCAGATAAAGCATCATAATTTCACCACCTATCGTCCAAAGATAAATGGAGCGGTTGAGGCAGCTAATAAAAATATCAAGAGGCTTATAGAGAAGATGACTGAAATTTATAAGGATTGGCATGAGAAACTACCATTTGCTCTGTTACCCTATCGAACTTCAGTACGAACATCAACTGGGGCAACTCTGTTTTCATTAACCTATAGGATGAAAGTAGTCTTACCTATTGAGGTAGAAATTCCTTCATTACGGGTTCTATCAGAAGTAAAGCTAGACGATGTAGATTGGGTACAAACCATATATGACCAGTTAAATTTGATTGAAGAAAAAAGAATGAAAACAATTTGTCATGGTCAGATGTACCAAAAGAGGATGATACGAGCACATGATAAGAAAGTTCACCTCCGAGAATTTTACGAATGAGAACTTGTGCTCATAAGGATTTTACCTTTTCAAAAGGATTATCGAGGAAAATGGATGCCAAATTGGGAAGGACCTTATATTGTAAAAAAAGTTTTTTTGGAGGAGCTTTAGTCCTTACTGAAATGGATGGACCTGAATTACCTTACCCAATAAATTCAGATGCAGTTAAAAGATATTTTGCATAAAAGGAAGAAAGGATTTGAGGAACTCCATACCTTCATCATAATTTCAAGATCCTTTTGACAGAAGCTACACTCAAATCACTTTGTGGTGTGCCAGTTCAAGAGCATTTATGCTATTGGTGTTTGAAGATACATACTTTGTCTTTTACAAATAAAAGTTTGCCATGTAAATTCTTTGCATGAATAAAAAATATTTTCTTTTACAAAGCATCTTGATTTGAAAATTTAAAACATGTAGTTTAGTTTGAAGTACACAAAATCATGGTGTATTATTGTACAAAAAGTCTTTTAAGAATATTGATATTCTGAAGTTGGCAATATTTTAACATATGATGATATGATACATGGGAACATAAAGAAATTTCAGATACTTGATCTGAAAATTTTGTCATTAATTAAGGGGTTTATCATTTGCACTGGTGAAATTAAAAAAGAACAAAAGCAGGATTAGGTTTGAAAAAATATATCAAGATAGTCGGTTGAGATGAAATTGACAATTAAAAAGGGGTCCTTGTTCGAAGAAAAAGAAGATACCCCAAAATTTTATCATTGCACACATTTTAGGCATAAATAGGATCATGACATTCATAAATGCATGATAGCAAACACAATGTAACATTTGCAGGTTTTTTCAAAAATTCGAATCCTGAAATTTGATTTCCACAAAAGAGTAATGGAAGCAAATCAACCTTGAATCTGATCTTCACTGAAGAGTAGTGGAATAGATTCTTTCAAGTCAATTCGATCTCTACGGAAGAGTAGTGGAAACAAGCAATGTAATCAAGCCTTCACAAAAGAGTAGTGAAGCAATGCAAATCCAGCCTTCATAAAAAAGAGTAGTGAAGCAAGATCAGATCAAAAGTTCAATCTCCACGGAAGAGTAGTGGAACGAATTTTTATCAAATATGAAGTTAATTAGAAGAAAACTTCTTGTCTTTTTATCTTTGCTTTATTCTTGTTAACACAAAAATAAGCAAAGAGGGGCAGCTATCGACCGTCATTTTCATCCTAGTTTGATTTCAATATAATATTATAATTATGTTATTTTATATATTATATTATTATAATTACTTGTTACAATTTTACAGGCCCGAATGGAAAATGTATTTAGCCTGAAGGCCCAAACTACAAGTCTAAACCAAAAAGCCCGATTATACCCGAAGCCCATGTTACAAGTAAATCTCGATAGACCAGGACCCGGTCCAGAACCAAATTCGATCCAAACAGCCCAGCAAGCCAGTAGTAGATCCAAAGGTGATTAGGGTTTCACGCATACCTCTCCAGACGCCAGCTTGTTTCCACCATCTGATTAAGAAGCAGATCAATGGTCACCAGTGCAACCAACAAAACCCTAGGGTACTCATTATAACCCTAGGGCTATTCCGGCGCCGCCATAGAGGTGATGATGCCTCCGCCGCTGAACGCTCCAACCAGTGCATGCCACAGTGCCGCCATATCCTCTTCAGATCGAAGCAATCTGAGTGCATTAAATGCACTCAGCTTCTCCACCACACAACTCACCACCCCTAGGGTGAGTCACTACCATAGCTCCAGTGACTCACCAGGGTACAGTCTTTTAACCGGTCCAAAGGGAGCATCGAAACCCCCTATAAATAGGGTAAACCTACAAACAAACAAGGTACACAATAAAAGAGCAAACACAGCAAGTAACCAATACACCAGATCAGAAAATAAAAGAGATTGAAGGAAGCGAAGCCTTACCATCATCGGAGCACCTACGCGCCTCCACGCACCATCGAAGAAGACGAAACGCCAAAGGTATAAACCTTAGATCTGCTTGGATTGAAGGTTATTTAGGGAAAACAAGGTTCGGTTTAGGCTTTAGGGTGAAAAGAGTAAAATTTTTGGGTATTTTTATGTTTTCCGGCCACCATGAGTGGTGGCCGACGGCGGTGGTGATCGGCGGTGTATAACTGCCGGTCGATGGTCGATCTTCCTCAGGTGAGGAAACTAGAGAGAACCGAGAGAATTCTCTCGGTTAGAGAGAGAAGAGAGGAGAGGAAAATGAGGTTTAAGGGCTCGTTAGGCCTAATAAGGGCCTATATATATATCCCTCCCCGAACGACGTCGTTTTGGGGAGGGACCTGCGCGAAAAATCCAGGTACGGGCATATTACACCCGTGGTCCTTGTAACCTTGTAACTATTTATTTTAGTCATTAAAAAGTATGTTTTATACATTTTAGTTTTATCCTTTAATTTTATTTTAATCCCTAACTGTAAATACATATATTTTAGGTAAAATTATGTATTTAGTCCTTTAAATTTTAATTATTTATATTTAGTCATGTATTAGTAAATTAGGGTAAACTACGTAATTAATACATAATTTTTATATTATTTCAAATTAGATTGATTAATTCTACCATTATATTTTTTAATAATTATTTATTATATATGATATTAATATATTAAGTTAATTTTACAATATGTTATTATAACATAATATTATAGGACTAGTAAATATCATTTAGTATTTATTTGTATTAAATTATTTGTAAATTTAAATTATTTAAGCGAATTTATAATTTATCGCAAAGACATTAATTAATAAATACTGTAACCAAGTTTGGGCGTTATGGGGGTGTTAATCCTTCCCCATACCTAACTGACTCTCGAACTCATTTTTCTAGTAAGCAGACCCCGAGTTGTATTATTTTAATATTATTCTTAAGAATTTTATTAGAATAATATGATATTTTGGTGACCAATCTCACCAAATTAAAAGATTGGTGGCGACTCTACAATTTGGTGTTTAATCTGATTCAAGGAAGATAAACACTTACTTTTTCGAGACTAGTTACACACTTTAAGGTGTACTATTTGCACTCTCCGTCGTCGGGCAGAGAAACGTCTCTACAAAACTTTAATATATATATATCCAAATATTATTTGTCCTTAAAAATAAAAAAATTAAATTAAAAAATATGGATCGGGTACCCGTGACTCGAAAATGTAGGTATCCAGATTTTACAGGTACTTGTACTTGATGGACCGAATCATGAGCCGACAAATACACTCCTCAGAGAACCGGGTATTCGGTTCTTCGACTACCCAAAAATACAAGTACCCAGTTTTGAACACTCCTAAGATCATAGACAAATAGTGCAATATAAAATTTTTGTATGAATAGATACAAAATAAAATTTTAAGACGAACATAATCAATAAAATAAATAAATAACCAATAAAATTTAAGTTGCATGATAGACAATTGTCCGCTCTAAATTTGACGTGGATCGGTAAATATAAAAAAAATCATAAAATATAACGTTAAATAGACGAAGATAATAGTGACTCAAATCAAATAAATAACATCAACACTTGCTAAAAATAACTACCAGCCCATGGCCTCCTAAAGATTATTCAAACTTCATTCCCCAACAGAGTAAGAAGCATGTCCTTGTAATCCCCTCTAGTGTCCTTGTCAACAGCATCGTCAAGACGCACACTGTTTCTCCTACAATAAAGCTCTTTGATTTCTTTGAGGTCCTTTTCAGCCCTCGTAACGATCACTCTCGTTAGAGCATCCTCGTCGGTTCCTAACCTTTGGATCGATTTCCGCAAAACCTATGCCACACAACGCTTAATTTGAATTCATATATGTGTATTACGTTAATGATATTATCCCGAGTCTAGCGTTTCGATTAGCTGATTCGTGCGATCTTAAATGATTTCTTGGTCGAATGATCGTCTAAGTAAATCTCCATTTATTTAGACGATTATTCAACTGAAAAGGCGTCAAAACCACAACGATCAACTAGTCGAAACTTTAATTCTATGACAGTCTTAAGATAATAGTGCTTCTAACCTTTTCGAAGTACTTTACTGGGTCCTTGAAGCATCGAACCGTGATACGTAGTGTTTCAAGGAATTCGTCTTTAGATTTATTAGGCAAATTCTGGAGAAAAAACAAAGGTTTAATTAAAAGAATACTTAGCTTGTTGTTTGAAAGATATTGGAAGGTTTGGGTACCTTAGTAATGGAAGTGCCTTCTTCTTCCCGATAAAAATTGAAAGTGGCTTGGAGCTGCGGTTTGCTCCTCGAAGTAATGATCCTAATAACATCGTCGTTGTTGAATTTGTTGTCTTTGATAGCTTCATGGAGCTCTTTGGCTTCGGATTTTGCTAGTTTTTTGTTTATCTCTTCCCCCTCATATCTGAATGCACTCACCAACGCAATCAAGAGCTGCAAACAGCAGGCAAAACTTTCAAAAATTATGCCCCTCCAAGGTCGGAGGTATTGTAGTAGACAAGGATGAAACTAGAAATTTATGTAAGAGGGTACAAACTTAATAAATATTTTATGGGTACAGAATTATAAAATTTTAGATATGGAAAATTAGATAATCAATAGAAATACAAAGAAAAAGATATAAAATATAAGGGAATTTGGAAATTTTAGACAATGCGACCACACTCCCAACACCCTCTTCGATCTATCCCAGACAGTAAACACAAAAATGAATATGATAGACTGTTGTAAATTGAAATGAAAATATTAAATAAAATAATGATAAAGCACATAAATTAAATAAATAATAAAAATCAAAAGCAAAAATCGTGTCGTGGTAAATTACTATCTAAGAAATAAATCCGTCCCATAATAAATTACTATCTAAGAAATAAATCAGTCCCATATTTGTAATTGCTACGATGAACGAACGCTTTTGAAATTAACATGACCTCTCCAATAATTCACACGCCCGAAATTTGGAGCAAATTTTAGGCAGCATTTCTCTTCTCTAAGAAACAAAACTTGTAAGCTTTTGAGGGTGAAACATTTGAGTTAGATTCATATTTTGTAGTGATACTCTAAAGCTGAAATGAGATGCCAATATATAAGTTCTTAATAGAGATAAAATGATGAAATATCTTAGAGCAGTTACAAAACAATTAATTGTTATAAATATTATTTTAATAAGAAAAAATCATATTAAATATTTTTGAAAAAGAAATGACAAATCCTAATAAATAATATTTTATCATGAAGATTTTATCTAAAAAAATAAGTGAACAGAACCGATTCACGCCAAACTATTTCTACTCCAAGTGAAATTCTTTATATTACTAGCGACTGAAGGATTGATATTTGTATCGGTTCCAATATGTTAGGGATTGTAATTAAAATATCTAAATTCACAAATATGTAATTAGAAAATCAAGTCAAACTCATCAAGTGATTTTAGTGATAAAAAGAAATATCATTTTTTTTAGAGTTTTAGGTTCGAGTAATTATGTCTAACGTCAATAAATTAAGAACATTTTGAATATATATTATCTTGTAATCATCTCATACTAATAAAAAAACTAAAACAAAAATAGAAAATAATAGGGTAAGAGTATGCCTTTCGGGTGTCTCCTTTGGTATAATCGTAAACTTCTTCTTCTAGGGAACGTTTGTATCGAGCGTGATAGGCTCTTCTTATAAACAGGAGCTCCTCAGAGGATCTGGCGCACGAAATCTCGACCAGCACCGGGTGTTCATGGCTCGATTTCCTAAGCTCCGCATGCGCTAACACCGCATCTCGATCGGCTGGATCCAATATCCAACGATACATTGCTTTCTATATATCACAACAAAAATCATATATATTAAGCAATGAAAACGGAATCCAAATGGTAACGGTAAATATGATTCCATTGTTAATTAACCTCAAAATCACCAGAAAGTTCTCTTTCGAGACGCCTGACGAGATCTTCATCGTAAAGCTCTTCATAAGCTTGCCTGATTTGCCTTCTTTGAGCCGCGTTTCTACGACCCAACACTGCAATTATTGCCTTCTCATCGGTGCCCCATCCTATCAAATTCATAACAACAAATTCATTCTATAGTCTGCCTTTGCATTTTATCAAAACCCAATTTTTCATATTGATCGATTATGAACTCCAGAATTTGAGGGCGGATCCTTCTAACCCAATTTTCTTCGTTCGCAAAAGTCAGAATTTGAACTTCAGAATTCGTAAATTTATTTTTCATATAAAGTTGGAGTATAAGGAAAACAATGATCAATGCATGAAAAAACTCAGATTTATTAGAAAATTTTCCATATGAAGTTGGAGATTAAGAAAAACCTTTGCAGGCCTTGTAAAGAGCTTGTGCATCATCACTAATTGAAACCTGATTAGGAACAGCAATGGTGGCCATTTTCTTCTTTGTTTGGCCTTAACGAATTTCCTGAATCCCGCTAGTGGTTATGGAAGTATAATATTTATAGTACTAGATTTTTCACAATAGTCTATGTTACCCGAATTCCAAGTGATTGCTTAATATAGATATGTGTCGGAAATACATTTATATAATTTTTTATTACTTTTTATATACTTAAAATAGTATACATCGATATTGCTTAAGCAAATTCTCGAGTTGAGTTCTTGTATATGCAGAAAATCTCTGCTGGAGATTTACCCACTAAAATCAGGTGTGCGACGTTGGTTAGTCCCGGATTAGTCAAAGCAAAACCTTGGAACCGGGAGAATAACCAAAAAATAATAATATACATTGAACCTTTGGATGATACTAGTGATAAAAGGGAATTTGTTCTCTTTAGATAATCTGGGTCGGATACTTAGTCTGCATGTTTTAAAAATAGAGGTAAGGTTTACAAATAGTCCTTAGACTATAAGATGTTGCTTTCTTAAATTCATTGACTATTAAAAGTTATAAAATAATCCCACAAATATAGGATGTTATTTTGTTAAGTTCTTCAACTATTAAAATTTATAGAATGGTCATCAGATGATATATATGTTTCAACTCATCCTTTTCAGTTAAAAATTGATGGTCTTGTGAGCTAGATGTTAACTGTTGATTGGGACATGATAAAAATCATATTTTAATGATGTTTACTGACACCACTATTGCTTTCAAAAACTAGCTTGACGAGATAATGTTTCAAGCACTGGCTCAACGATATATTGTAAACAGAGAGTCTATCCACAAAATACATCTCACATGGTTATGAGATAAGATTTTATCATATCTCAGTCAACATATTAACTTCCAATTTAGACAGACACTAATTTTTTTAACAGAAAATGATGAGTTTGAAACATATGAATAGTTGGGTGATCATTTTGTAACTCTTAATAGTCGAGAGGCTCAACAAGGCAATGCCTTATAGTCGGAGCGTCATTTTGTAACTTTTAATAGTTAGAGGATTCAATAAAGCAATGTCTTATAGTCGAGAGACCAGTTGTGTAATTTACCCTAAAAATAATTATAGATATAGACCGAACTAAATTTGGAGAAAAGTCTAATAGACAAGTGTTTAAGAAAACAACCACTCCATTAAAACCAAAGCAAATGTAAACACCTCAATGAAAGTTAAACAAAGATGAAAATAACAGTGACTCATACGGAGAAGGTCCCAACTCACAACACTTAATTAAAACACTTGAAAATGGCCAAACAAAGACGTTCAATCTTGTTTCCCCAGCAGTGTAAGAAGCAATGCCTTGTAATCCCCTGAGGTGTCCTTTGCAACAGCTTGATCAAGAGGCACACTGTTTCTCTTGTGATAAACCTCTTTGATATCTTTCAGGTCCTTTTCAGCTCTTGTAACAATCACTCTGGTAAGTGCATCCTCATCGGTTCCCGTCCTCCGGATCGAATTGCGCAAAACCTAGGTATTGCACGAAATTTGAGTATACATAGAGGAAGATTATGTTGGTGTTATGAGTTTATGATCACAAGACATTAACCTTTTCGAAGTACTTTTTTGGGTCATTGAGGCATCGAACAGAGGTACGCAATACCGGAAGAAATTCATCACCTGAATCACCCTGCAAGTGCTGGAGAAACAGGAGAGCAAAGGTTAACTGAGAACACATTTGACATCATTTTAAGCTAACTGAAGCTTTGATACCTTGGTAACGGAAGTGTCGTGATCATCTCTGTAACGGTTGAAAGTCACCATGAGTTGCATCTTGCTCCTTGTAGTCAAGATCCTGATAACTTCTTCATGGTTAAATTTCTTGTCTTTGACAGCGTCATGGAGAATTTTGGCTTCAGAATTTGCTAGTCTTGTATTTATCTCCTCCCCATCATATCTAAATGCAGTCACCAAGGCAACCAACAGCTGCAAAAAGCAACCAAAACTATCAGTAATCACTTTTGTTGTAGCCTGGAGGATCGAGTTCGAGCTATTCTGACCACCGAAGGTCACCGGATCTCAGTTATACATCGATAACTTGAGGCCTAAGGTATCATAAACCGTAAAAATGGAAACAAAGAGAAATATAAAAAGATCGACTAGGACGTGCCGTTCGGATGTCTCCCTTTGTGTGAGCAGCAACATCTTCCTCCAGGGAATGTTTGTATCGAGCCTGATAGGCTCTTCTTACGGCCAAGAGCTCTTCAGGGGATCTGGTGCATGAAATTTCGGCGATCACATGGTTATCAGGGCTTAGTTTCTTTATGGCGACGTTAGCCAAGACGGCGTCTCGATCAGCCGGCTCCAATATCCAACGATACACTGCTCTCTGCATATTCCACGACAATAATTCTTAATGATCAGTGAAAAATACATATGATACTGCCATCGTTAACTAACCTCAAAATCGCCAGAAAGCTCCGATTCGAGACGCTTGATGAGATCTTCCTGGTACAGTTGTTCATAAGCAAGCCTGATTTGCTTCCTTTGAGCTGCATTTCTATGACCCAACACTGAAATTATCGCCTTATCATCTGTCCCCCATCCTATGAAACATTACAAGAACAAAAACATGTTTCATAATAAATAAAAAAAGTCTTGTTGAAATGATCAGTGCATAGAAAATTTTCAATTTACAATAACCTTGGCAAGCCTTTCTAAGAACTTCTGCATCTTGTTGAAATGAAACCTGCTTAGGAGCATCAATGGTGGCCATCTTTTTTTTCCTTTTGAACCAATTTCCTCCTTATCTCTGGAGAGTATCTATGAAGTTTAAAAGAGACTTCACTAGAGAACTCTATTTATAGCTCCAAGCTACCAATAAGGCTCTATGTTACCTAAATTCTAGAGTAAATGTAATGTATTTAATTTTTTTATATATATTTTATGTAGTTTGGATCATATATATAATATTATTTAAACATAAGCATATGATTATATAAATTATAATCTTGGTTTGAAAATTATATATTTATGTTTTTTATTAATCTAGAGTGATTAAAAAGTAGTTTCAGTTATAAAATTTTCAATCATTTGACAATGAACACTCATATACCCTTACAAACATCGTGCACAAAACTGGAACCTCAAGGGACAACAGTCATCCCTTAATTACTGAGATCGTTTGGTTCGTATAATTATATTTTTAAGTTAATATTTACATTTTTATTTAATTATTAGATAATAAATTGAACTGGACCGGGAAGAAAGTCATTTATGCTACTAACCCTGGTTAGTAATAAACACCTAATTGGATTAGCATTAATTGACTTAGTGTTAATAGACTGCATTATTTGTTGCGTAATTATCATTTGATAATTTCAAAGTATAGTGATTAGGGATTAAATTTACGGTTTAAAATAAAGAAAGTGGTTATAAATTTGAGATTTAAAGTTTAATAAAATATAATATATTTATTTTTTAAAATAGTTTTATGAATTAATTAAATTAAATTTTGGTATTAAGGTATTAGTATAGTTCTGGAGTATTCATTTTTATTTTTCTTCTCTATTAATTAATCTAATAAATGGATGATTATATTGCGAGTGCTAACTTATTTGTGTTAGGTGAACAAAATAACTTAAACATTTATGAATTTCATTTTTTTCAGACATTATTCTGAAAATTGATAGGTTTTTTTCCTCTTTTTTTTTAATTAATCACTAGTATCCGATCTATTGACCGACTAATCCATATCGGATACTGCAGAGGTGATGGGACCCTCCCAACCCAGTTTGTTCCATTCACAAACGTCAAGATTCGAACCTCTAACCTTGCTTAAAGGACTTAATACCTCATCCCACTATTCAAACCGGTTGTTGGTTTTTCCTCTGAATTTATTCTTTATACATTGTTAGCAAATTTTGCTGAATTTAATATAAGGTTCTTATCACTTTACAGCTTGAATTTCTTTTAATAATAATAAGAAAATTGACATATGAAGCTACTTGTTAGTATGGCAATAAAGAATGTACTTGCCATGTAGAAAATTGGGTGTTTGTGATGTCAAAAGGAAACTTCCCATAATATTTAAATATATATATTTAGTAACCATCAATTTTCATCACTTTGTTTGGTATGTAAAAAATCTAAGACTAATTATTTTGCTAAAACATTTTATTTTCATCATTTTTATTCTGTTTTGGTCATTAAACTATTTTATGTTTCTAAATCATATATAACGTTACATTTTGATTTCATTCTAGTCACCCACCGTTAAACATTTAACAATGATGTTGACGTATCATTATAAGGTAATGTCATATTATCATTGAATTTTCTTTTTAAAAATATCATGTCATCAGTTCTGTTAATTTATTAATGGCAAATGAACAAAATAAAATCAAAACTTAACGTAGGATTTTTTAAAAAAAATAATATTTAAATAACAAAATGAAACAAAAGTGATAATCCAAGTACTAAAAATGTAGTTTATCCTTAATAAGGACCGTAAATGAGACGAGACAGATCACTAGCTACTCAAGATTGATTCGGTCAAAGCCCTTAAATTCTTGACTTGAGGTCGATCTCGATTCGAGTTCTTAACGAGCCAAAACGAGCTACTTGATATTTAACTCGAAAAACTCGTGAACAACTCAAAAATATTATATATTAAGATTTTATTTTTAAAAAATATTAATAATATTAACATTTATGTGTTGATTTTTTTTAAAACGCAGTATAAGGTTTCATGTATTTAAGGTTCATGTTCGAGTTTGAGTTTGAGTTTGGGACTTTAATAGAGTTAAGTTTGTTTTTTCAATTTCAAGTCTTTTCGAGCTTTTACAAACTTCAGTTCATGATTTCGAGTTCGAATCGAGCTTGAAAATTTTAGACTCGCGAATTTTCGATTTGAGTCGGACTTCATTTCAGAGTTTTTGAATCAAATCGAGCTCACCAATATTTGAAATCGACTTTACTCATTTATAGCAATACCCTTAATAATTAGAACCCAACGTAGAAGTTAACGCCAACTCACGTCTATCGAGCTTTGTTTTCTTCTTCTTTTTTGGCCAATTAAAAAAGAAGAAAGAAAGAAAAGGAAAAGAGAAACGTCTGCTTTTGTTTCAAATCAGTTCAGTTCCATTAGGTAATATTATGATTCCGTTGTTTTATTGTTTGCATGGATGCAAAGTGTCATAAATATTTGGATTCTCCAGATTTCCCTCACGTTCTCTGCGTTTCTCTTTTATCTTTCTTGTTGGCAAGGCATCATCTTTTCTTTTCTAAATTTCTATTAGCAAAGCATAATTATTAATGCTTAACGTTGAAGTATTAGTGTTGCAGTTTTACGATATAATGCTAAAATTAGTCTCTCAACGTTTAAAATGGCTATTTTGATTTTTATTCCTTTTTAAAATATTTTAGTTCACATCGTTTCATTTTAGGACAACAGTAGGAGTGAGTAAAAGTCGACTCAACTCGAAACACTTATATTTTCATTTTAGGATAATAATTCAAATTTTTAGTAATTAATAGATTAGTTTCCAAGTTTGAGTCGAGCTCCCTCAATTCTGTACACTACAGCAAAAGTGTTATGTAGTGACGTTTTTAGCGGCATTAGGAAAACAAACACCACAAAATTTGGGGATATAGCGGCGTTTACAATCCAAATGCCACAAAATGATACTTTAGCGGTATTTTTCCAACAAACGTCGCAATATAGTAGTAATTTAGCGGCGTTTATAGCATAAATGCCCGAATAGAGTTCTTTATAGTGGCGTTTTTTCAACAAACGTCGCAAAAAAGTAGTAATTTAGCGGTGTTTTTATAAAAACGTCAAAACAAGGTTGGTTATAGTGGTGTTTGTCCAACAAACGATGCTATATAATAGTAATTTAGCGGCGTTTATCAAACAAACGCCGCAATAGTGCGTTTGTATAGAGTAGTAATGTAGCGGTGTTTTTCTTATAAACGCCACAATATTGTTGTTTATAGTGGTGTTTTTAGAAAACTGCTACAATAGGGTACATCAATAGTGGAGTTTGTTTTAAAAACGCCGCAAAAACATGTACTATAGTGGCTTTTTTTTAAAACGCTGTCAAAGGGTAAATATATGGTCCACCCTTTTCTCCTTCTCGATCCCTAAAATCATTTCAGCGCTGCTATCTTCAAAAGGGATTTCTCTTGTACAACAACGACCGTCACACAATTCCAAGCAATGTCGTCTTCTATTTGTCCCGGCGACCAAATCGGCCCTCTCACTGGCGAACAATTATCTCACGATTGCACGGTTTGATCCCTTCTCTCACTACTGAACTTTTTCATTTATTTTTTGTTGGTATTTTGAAAATGGGAAAAACCCAGAAAGCTAACGTAATTGAGAAAAATAATATCTTTCGAATAGGAAAACAATATCTACACCTCAGAATCCACCATCATAGTCTCATTTATGTTATCAGCAGTCTGTTAATGTTACTGAACCGTGTTTAACTGAATTGATATTACGTTAATGAAAACTTTTATTTATTATATTGGATTTGATGTTGCTTGTTATGGATATAGAGTTTAATGTTATTGATGTCATGTTTTTTGGATAATGGAACAGGTTGAAAAAACAGATTTGGAGTAATCGAAGAAAATATTTAAATTGTTTAAATTATGTGCTCTTTAGTGGCGTTTGTAAAAAATGCCGCTAAATATCAAAAACAATATCGATGTTTGTAACAGAAAACGCCGCTATATACCAGACTTTTTGCGGCGTTTATAAGAAAAATGTCATTATATATCACTCTTAGCGGCGTTTATATCCGACAAACGCCGCTATATACCAGACCTTTTGTGGCGTTTGTATCCAAAAACACCGCGAAATATCTTAACCTTTTGAGGTGTTTATAAAAACGCCGCTATATACGTACGCATTTTGTGGCGTTTGTGGGAAAAACGCCGCTAAATCTCAACACCTATTGCGGCGTTTGTGGGAAAAACACCTCTAAATCTCAAAACCTATTGCAATGTTTGTGGGAAAACGCCGCTAAATCTCAACACCTATTACGGCGTTTGTGGGACAAATGCCGCTAAATCTCAACACCTATTGCGGCGTTTGTCCAACAAACGCCGCTATATCTCGTTACCTATTACAACATTTTTTGTTATCAAACGCCGCGAACTTTAGCGGTGCTATTTTCCTTGGCGCTTCTTGCGGCGTTTGTCATATCGCCGCAAGTGTTTTTTGCGACGCTTAGAAACACCACTATAGGTAAAAAAACGCCGCGAATGTACAGTTTTGATGTAGTGGTATGATATATGTATATCACATAGGAAGAAATATATATGTATTGTATACAATTATAGAAAATTGTTTAAATTGGACTTGAATAGTATCATAATATTATAAATATTTATAATTAAATTTAAACAGAAACTCGAGCAACTCAACTAGACTCAAAAACATTTTAAATAAAATGAGTTATAAAATAGGATCCATCAAATCGAATAACTCAAATAACTTGACTTGATCGAATGCTCACCACTAGGCAAAACGACTCGTGAAGTTTGACCAAATAGTCACTTGGATCCTTATTCCTTTTTGGAGCATTTTAGTCCTCCATGTTTTATTTTAGGATAAAAAATGACTCTATTTTAGAACGTTTATCATTTATTAACTACCGATTTGAAGGGCCTTTCAACTCGAAAATAAAATATTGTGGGCAAAAATGTTCCAAAAATAGAAAAAGAGCCAAAATATTTAGTCAAACATTAGGATTTTTTTTGACATTATGTTTAATTTTATTATGGTATTTTATATTAAATTAGATTATATTGTTATTTCAACATCGTTGATTAAATTGATTGATT